CATTTTTTCAAATATTAACAAGAGGTTCCAATCGTATGAAATAGAAATTGAAACGTTTCTCTATCAAACAAAAAAACAACCTTGAAGTTTGGTCGAGAAATGGTGGAGATATTTAATTTTCTTTTTGAGTCAATGAATTTCCGAACACCCGGTAATACATCAATCGATAGATCTTGATGAGGCCTCTATAATGATGCGTAATTTAATGCGTTTTATTGCCAGCAAAAGCTTCTTTTATGCAAACTTCTAATGAAATTCAAGATTCTTCAGGTCCAAAAAAATAACTACTACATAAAAGGGCCACCAGACGTATATGACTGTTTCAAAAAAAGTAATTGTCAAGTAATTGTGTTATATCGCAACAACAAAAGCAGCTAAAGATCTTCTGTCCTTAGTGGTAGTGGGCAAACGTCAGACAAATAAAATAAAAATGAATTCAAAAAGATCCGTTCAGTAGAAAAAAAGTTATTGCATTTTTACTTCTCCGATATCAACGGTACAATACTATAGTATTGTACCATGTACGATTTGCGTTATAGCGCAAATCTTACATGTATACCGTATCTTTCGAAAATACGTACAGTGCATCACAATATGTAATGTGATCAAGACCGGGAAGATCCGATTACACTATGCATTTGTATTCGGATATTTCTTTGCCAAATAATTATTTCATCAAATCCCAGAGCGATTAGAATGCACAAGAACTGTGTAAGATGAAATGTACTGCAGGAATACGTTGATATAGTGTAACTGTAAGCTAGTAGTGAGCTGACCCTGTCACTCCACACGTATTAAGGTTCATCATACAACGTAAGTATGTTTTTCTACTTTTCATATTATTCATCCATTTCAAACTTTTTTACTTTTTATACTATTCATCCCTTTCATACTTTCATCCCTTTCAAACTTTTTCTACCATTCATACTTTTCATCCCTTTCCTGTTTTCTATGCTTCGGTACTCAAAGCGGGTCGAGTGAGGGGGGGGCAACTACATGAGAGTGAGCCGCTTAATAACTTTCTGCCAAGCAAGAAGTGCGGAACAGTGGAGATCTACTGATGTACGTAGAATCCAGCACACTTTGTACAATTGCAGTGAACATCACATTCCGCTGCAGAGGGATGAAAAGTATGAAACGAATGAAAAGTAAAAAGGTTGAATAAGACTAAAATAATAAAATCACTCGTTGAAATTTGATCGATGCTGCCACATCTTCTCAGGCAAAAGTACGTTACACATTTTTTGTGTATTCTAACAGCTCTCTAAAATCCAAGCATTTCACACACATACAGCCTCAGCTTAATGCGATGTCTGGGCAAAAATTTTAAAATAAAAATGCACGTAAGCGGAAAATGTACAAACATGTACGTAGAAAAATGTACCACAAGTGAAAGAAGAATGTGTAAGAAGTACAACAGGGAAACACACGCGGTCGAAATCGAAAGCAATGGTTGATTATACGCAGTTAATCGTGCGCTTAATCGCAATTTTAAGCAGAATTTTTTGCTGATTCATCACGATTTTGAGAAAAACTTGTCGATAAATTTCGATTGAGCGCGATTTTGCTGAAATCGTGCGCTTATTAGAAAAATCGACGCCAAATCGTGCTTAATCGAAATTTATCGACAAGTTTTTCTCAAAATCGCGATGAATCAGCAAAAAATTCTGCTTTAAAGTCGCGATCAAGCCCATAATTAATCGGGTGACTAACTGCGCTTAATCAGCCATTTCGTCCCAATTTTGGCGACATGGGAAGAATTCATCTGAGATGCAATGTTTTCTTCACAGAAGAACACAGCTACCGAATGATCACATTAGAGATAGTTGAACAGTATGACAAAGTTGTTTCGAAAGAAAAATCAGGTAAAACATGATAAATTCAAGATATTTTGATTATACCTAGTAACAAGGTAAAATATTGTGCTGGTTATTCTTGTTCCCCGGGATCTGACTAATTTTTTTACGAAGAGTTTCCAAAAGGGGTAGCAGTTTAATTGCTGAGTGATGTAGACCAACTATCTGGGTGTTTGCGATTCTTTTGTGACGAATTGTATAAGTGCATTAACATCTATGTCAATATATTGTAATTTTTTTCACGTTTCACTACTGACCATTTCTTTTTTGAGGTCAAGCACATCATTATCGAACAAAGATAGTGCTTGATTGTGAAAAATAACTAGTGGTGATTTATCTCTTGATGTTTGGAATCCTGGTAACTCAGATTTTGGGCCTACAATTATTGTACCATTTGTAAAATACACTAGCCATGCGAAGAGAGTCGCTTGAATTTTGACGACATGTTGCGATACGCTTAGAAGTCATCGATTTTGATTTTTTTAAAGCGGCTCTAGTCATCGACTTTCTACTCATCCACCGTTTTGTTTTGCAGTTAAACAAGTACATAATAAATACAGAATTTCAAGGAAAATCGGTACTTTTTTTCAGATTATCATTTTTTAGATTAGTTTTAAAATCGTAGGATCATGTCTGGTTCTCCTCAGAGTTAGCTCGATATGAGTTAACTTGTGCACTGAGGAGCCAGTCAAGACTCTGAGCCGACTGATCGAAGTTAGAACTTTGACTTCAGTTGGCTGCACCTGGAAATTACAAGGAACAAAACAATCGCGGAGATGGACAACTCAACGGTTCATGATGAAGACAAGCCCAGTGAACTTTTTTTTTGCGTCTTGAAGCCTTTGAACGACGGATGCTGGCGCAGCTGCTCTTTCTGTCAGACGGTTAGTAAATTTTTCATCAGTTAGAATTTGATTTAGACGGTTTTGTGGTTTATTCGTATGGCTAGTGTATACCTCAGCACATATTTATTCCATTGACTGTAAGTCTATGGCCATACGAAAAAAATTTGGTTATACGAAAAACTCAAAGTGTTTGTGTGTCCATACACGGGTGTGACGGACGTACATACATATAGTCAGTGGCAGTGTGACGGATGTACATACATATAGTGACCAGTGAGTGTGACGGACATACAAACATATACTCATGTGGCAGCGTGACAGATGTACATACACAGAATCACTAATGAGTGTCACGGACATAGATCCCCATAGGTAGATGCGTTCGGGTTCTCTGTGAAATCAGAGAAGTGTAACACCTATCCTGGTTGCGAGCGCGGACCGAAGGGACGTGTGAGCATTGTTTGGAATTTAGAAATACTTTTAGTCCTCTGGGGTTCTTTGGGGGGTCTCGAGAAAACTTTTATAGATTTAAGCTACAATCTGAAGCTGACACATCAAATCGGGGAAATATAGATAGATAGTCCCTAGCACACACCGACCGAAGGGAGGTGTAAGCGTTGTTTCCACAAACGAGGCCAGACGTCGCCCCCACTTAGGTTCTGTTATCAAGGGTAAGAAGACTGGGAGATTTGGTAATATTATGTCCATTTCGAAAGTCTCCATTACAGATAAAACCAAATCAAATTACAGAGACTGGACGAACTACAGAAATTGAGGAAAGAACGCTATGACGGTTTCAAACTTTTGAGAGTCACATAACTCGTGAACTCATGCTGACTTGATAGACTTGAGTTCTATTCCATACTTGGCTTTGAAACACGTACTCAGTCTGATAAACGTTTCTGACCGGTGTAAAGCTACAGCAACTGCTTCTGTAAACTAAGGTAGAAAATAGGGACGTTCTCATCCCAAAAATATGCATCAATTCTGTAGTAACAAGATCGAGTTACAACAGAATGAATAATAATTCCGACAGTACATTCATTCAACTTACAGGCAATGGACTTAGTGAATCGATGCGATTCACGTTATTTATTACTTTAAAAGCACATGATTCAATACCGTTTTTATAGCATTCGATTATCAAAGTAGTTATTAAAAAATTGTATGTTTTCAGAAATATTATCCAATTTTATTTTGTAATTTTACTAACGGAATGAGTGTGACGGCGATAGATGTTGATACATTCCAGTAATATATAGTTCACCTCGTCCGTACATCAGCATTATGAGCTGCTTTGCTGTAGAAACGGAGGACGACGCCACAGCAACGACATGGTAAGAATCACCATTTGGCTGATGAGAGACTAACACTAATTTGCATTATCCTGAACTTCCATTCGATCTTGATATAGAACACAATGCCTTCGGTGTATCGCCCTCAAATTGGTGGATCTATTGAGATTTTATCTGATAAAGTCAAATTACTATTACAAGACGATAGCAGTAGTAGTGATAGTGGCAATTCATCTAACTATATTGACATGCATGAAAAATTCATTGAAGATTACATGAATCAGAACAAGAGTAAGCGAATTAAGGTAGGACATATGACGTGCTATGGATCCGTTTTATGGTTATTCCTCACTTTTCAGAGCTCATCATCGATATCGGATACTGTCGAGGAAGAAAATCATCAAACGCAGGAAGATTTTCAAGAAATATCGTCGTCTGTGGCCGATAATGAGAAGTTCTCTCGACGACCAAGTGCAAAAAAATTGTTTGAAGTCAACGTGTGGAATGAACAACAAAAACAACTCAAGGAAAAGAAATCACAAAAAGTAAACATAGTTGAATACAATGGTGTTTTAATAATTGATTTTTATTTAGTCGCCTGTTATTATTTCTTTTGAATTTCTTTAGGTTTATGAACGTCTTTGTCTATTTTTAGAACACAACGAATATATCTGAATCACAACACTATGATGAAATTAAAGCAACAACTAGAGAACTCAATAATGTAAGTGAAATTTGTTGCAAAATGTCATTTTTTTATTCTTGCATGAAATTGCTTATTTCCAGATTCATCTTACTTTGGGAAAAACGCATGTTCATTATTTCTAAAATATATACTATTAGCCCATCTTAATTTGCACCTAATGTACTTTTCTTGCACGATTTTTCATTTCAATTACACTTTTCTCTACATATTGTATTTCACCACAAAAACTACATCCCCATTTAATTATATAACTCGTTTGTAGTATGATTTAAAAATAAATTGAACTACAATATGTCAAGTATTTTGGATATTTTTATCTTTTCAGGATTATGAAAATCTCATGTATCCAATTGATTTTAATAATTATCGTAAACGCGAATTTATTTATCGAAATTATACGTGTAACGTTAGGGAACCATTACTCTTAGCTAAATACAAGCAAATGCAACGTTTAGCTAAAAATAGTGATAGACAAAAATTTAAAATAAAACAATACAATCAATTTTTAGAATTTACCAATAGACGAGTAACTAATGACTGTTTCCTTTGTTCTTAAAATATGTTCAATTGATATTTTACATTTAGCATTATATAGCACGAGATGATTATGACAAGAATGAATACGATGCATTGGCGAAGTTTAACGATGGTGCATATCGGGTATGCAATAATACACAGCATTCCTTTATTGTAAACTGCATGCAACATAAATGTGAAGTATATGTATCATTTTTATCACCGGTTTATCGTCTCCATCAGTGCTACTCCCTGCGAAAAATTCTGGTACATTTTTCTGGCGGGACAGAAAAAAATTCAGAGCAGTACTAGTAAAAATCAGTGCGACACTGATGTCAATCGTCACTTGCTGAGCCAGTGACAGTGACCTATGGCATTGCATGCGCACCAGTGTCAACTGAAATTTTTTTTGCAGGGAATATTACATTGGATAATATACTTTCATTCCAATTTCAAAGACCGGCATTTTCTTTTACTTATATGATTATACAAGCACGTGCGTTCCTCTACATGTATGCGTATTATGCTGTCAATTTGTATCGTTGTTGTTATTCTGTATGTGAGGTTTGCATGCTCTTTAGACACCGTGGTTATCTGATCGAACGCTTGTGCACTATCACAAACACCTTAGTGAAAGTCGCACATCATCATCATTGTCTAGATTGGATCCTACACAAACCGTATCTGAACAAACTTTTAATCTTGCTGCTCCTGTTCATGATCGCACAACACGTTCAGCACTTTCTTGGATGAGTATCAACCATTCGAACGTCAATTCTAGAGTAAGATTATTATCTAGGTAAAGGTTGATGATATAGTCTTATTTTTAAATATGTTTTTTGTAACTAGTTTTTGTTTTTATTTAGCGCTAAATGTCAGTATATCGAACAACAATCACAACGACCGATCAATTTCGATGGGTCAATTACATCCGATCTATACAACATTCATAAATCGTATCGACATCAATCTTCTTCTGTTGCTGTAAAACTAGACTCAACACCTACAAATTGTCTATCAGACGACAAAATTTCAGAAAATAAGGAAAATATCTTGGCTTGATACATCTTTAACGTATTTCTTGCATTAGTTTTTCTTTCGTAGATATTGTTACATTAAAATTTCATACTTAACAAAACACAACATATGTTTAAGCCGTCCTTCAAGCAAGTCGCTTTTTGTCAACAAAGTTGATTATGACATTTACACATGATTTAGTTCCCTTTTCGATTGTGCTAATTTTTTCCATCTTCAAAAACACATTTTGAGAGTTTTTTAGAAAGTTTTTTGCATGCATAAACTGCAATGATATTAGTCAAAAAAGTGATAATTTTAGAAGATGTCTATACAAGGCAAGATATATGCAACATGTGCGTAGGTATATGTGCATCGGATTTTAGAATATACGAATTATTTCCAGATTCAACTTCTCAAGAAATATAGCTTTTTCGAACGAAAGTACTGTCTGTCAAATAAAATAGTAGACTCGGCCATTTTTTGAATAATTTATAAACGAAACAAGGTCAGAAGTTGTGGTTTTCGCGATTTGATAGATGAGACTTTGGAGCATCTTATCATAACGAAAAGAAATTAAAAATATTTATTCCAACTAGATTTTCTAGGAAATCTTTAAAAAATCGAGTTACAGCTCAAAAACTTTAAGTACGAATATTTTCATTCTTTTTTTATGGACTTAAACGTAGGACGGAGTATAATTGTTTAAATAAAAATATGCATTGTATTACTCTCTTTTTACTTTCGGCGAGCAAACAGAAGAGAAAAATATGCCTCCACCAGGGGACGAATAGGATTTTTTCCAGTAAAAATTTAATTTTACGGAAATATCGGTTTTCACGAAAATTATATCTTACTCAAAACCGTTCCACATGAGTTAAAAGTTTCAGGACAGACTTAGTTTCATATGCTAAATATGATTCAACAACTTAAAAATCAAAAATATCATTGAAACTATGCTGGATTTTGTGATGGTTCTTCAGAAAACTTCGTAAGTAAATAAATATCTATATATATATCTCGTTTTTCGGTTCTGGAATCATGTTAAACTAAGTTTTTACTAGGTTTTATATGTTTGTATAAAAACAAAGATCACCACAAGATTCGGTATGATTGATTATCTACAATCAAAACGTGGCCGAGTCCGGTATTTCATTGAACAGATTGTAGTTTGCAATTGTCTCACTATCACTTTTTACGTTACCTGAGGTAAAAAGGCGGTAGCTCTGTAGGTAGCGCCGTGTTTTAAGATTACACGATTTCTTTCTATTTTAAATCCTTGAATGCTTGTGTTAGTCTTAAGCTAAAGAGAAATGTTGATGCTATGGCATAGAAAAGCTCGATTTTTTGATTTTTATCATATTCTCTAAGAAATAAAGGATTTGGGGGTAAAACTAATCCATGGTTTTTCTAGTTTTCAAGATAAAACGTCGGGAAATATTCAGAAATAAGAATTTAAAAAATTTGGGCTTCGGTATGTCGTCCATTCATTTTAATGAATAATGTGATGTGAATCATTTCAAATAGTATCAATAAAGAAATGTTCCATTTTTCCACATATTGTTCACAAGTTTTTTGCAAAAAACCTTAAGGACAAATAAAATTTATCATTTCTAACTTTAAATAGAGAGATCTTCAATCAAGAAAAATAATAATACTTTGTTGATTGCCAGATAAATGGCCAAAAAAATAGTTTATAATTGATAAAGCATTTTCTATCCATGGGCTTAGGAAATATTGTATTCAAATATATTTTCCTGTTACTTTTGACATCAGTTCTTTGATGTTAATATCTCATTTCTCTTCTAAGAAGGAACTGACAGACATTTATTATTGCAGAAGAATTGTTTTAGTTGAATGAGTAAAGAAATATAGTAATTACGATCATTGAAAAGAATAAAATGTTATCAAGTAATATCTTTCCTGTGTCAAAAATGAAACGTCACTCACTACTGGTGCTCAATTCAAGGACGAATATGTCAATTATGTTAATTGAAAATTTAAAATGAAAGTGTGTGTGTGTGTGTGTGTGTATTTGTGTGAATATATGTAAATATAAGTGCACGAATGTTGTGGTTATATGAACTACATCTTCATCGAAGCAAAAACATCTCCCACGACAACATTAGTTATTGAGGAATTACTGTAAATTATCATTAAAGAAATAGGAATGACAAAAGTGCTCTATAGGAAGTGAGAAGGATAAAATTTAAACATTAAATAGTACAACTAGACCTATCTAAACAATGGTAAACCAGACTTAAATATTAAGTATTAACTTAAAAATAAAATTCACATTCATAATTGAATATACTACAATTAAGTTAATTCTTACATACAGGTAATAAATTATTATTTACTCCTTGAAGTTAAGCGTAGATTTCAATTTATTTTTACCAAAAGAATGCACGTGCCTTTCTATGCTCATTATTCATGAAACCACTCTCAAAAGATACAATAAATACATCATTAACAGAGTAATTCTGTTGGCTAAATTGTCTACCTATGCTAGTTGTCCGAATCGTATTAATCTAGGATATATGACGGAAGAAACGTTCTCTACCAGATATTTCTATCTCATCCACGTAAAACAACGACAGCGTATATAATAGCACACACTTTTAGTGTTACATGTTAAAGATTGTTTAATCTCAATTTTATAACCGATTTGAGTGAAGAAATTAATTGTATTTTCATTTAAACTACAAAAACAATAGATTTTTCTAGTGCATTTTTAAAATTTTGTCAAACTATTTCCCGGACTTGGTAAAAATAATCCTAAATTACCTTGGTGATTAGGATGAATCAAACAATGGCGTATATTAGGGAACATTTATATGTTCACATATATTTTGATGAATCCATTTTAGGATGCGGATATTGCCGAAATATATGCTCAATCGGATCGAGTTGTTTGTTATATGTCACTGAAATTATTCTATGATCATCATTCTTTGCCATTCCCTTGTCGACATGGATCTTACTCACGACGTCAGTTTTAACAAATCAACCCTACTTGAATTATGCCTTTTCGTGTTTTAGATAAAACACTCTTTAATTTGATTTTGTGTTTTTCAATAGTTTTAGTTTAGAATATTAGAATGGAATATTTTTTCGCTTGTATCCTGACGGAACAAAGCTTATATCCAATGTGTCCCTGTTTGCCTAGACGATGAATAATATTAGCATTTTTATTCTACTTTTCACTTTCATCGTTACAAATTCGTTTAACTCTATGTTCTAAGGTTGTTGTAAAATTATTCAAGATGAAATGACGGTGATCTGACTCCGCACACACGTAGTGAAACGTGTTAGTGGGTCTACAGTGTAATTTTATGACAAAACGATGGCTAACACAATCTTTATACAGATGCACATCTAAGAAATTGATGTTGTCATTTGTAAAATTTTCGATTTATATTTTGAATTTTGATTTATCTCATTAAATTTTTGTAAAAAATAGTCCAAATCTTTTCTCTCGCCATACATAACATAGTACAACGGGTGTTTGTGCACTCTGGTATAGTTACTCACATCATTTAATAAATCAAAAGCTTTCCTCTTATATATTTTTCAAATATTTGTGTGTGTATATGTATGTGTGTGTGTGCGTGCTGATGAACAAGATGGAATGCCCTTGTCTTTGATTGCCATTGTTATTTTGTGTGTTTGCATATCTAGCAGAGCATATATTCATCCATCATCCGTCGTATTTTAAATTAAATTGTCATCATGGCTTTTGTTTAACAAGGAAACAATTTTCTATTATGATTTTAGTTTCTTTCCGTTTCTATTAGTAAAGATTTATCCTTACAGTCGATTTCTCATGAAAATGGTTTAGTACACAAAAAGAAAATAGTCATCATCTATATCTATTATGAGAAAATCTTTCTTATGTTATATAAAAAGTATACTGCTCTTATATTCATTGTACACTTGTTCGATTTAACATAGTGAACAAAAAAAGAAAAGAGAAAACCGCACAACGCATACACGATAAAGAAAAAAGAAACAAATCAAACAAGGACAATGTGTTAAATAGACGAATTCCAGACATGTGGTGGTGGTTCATGCACACAGAAAAAATGTTTATTAGATCACTAATGGTAGTATAAAAATTACTGGTTTTCTCTTATATAACTGTTTGTTCATCTTCATCTGTATACTCATAAAAAAACGAGAGAAACAAAAAATCAACTTTTAGTAATTATGTCGAGCTATTGAATGTGAAAAACGTTTATGGTTATACTAAATTTAATATAAAGTATATATATTATGTATCATATTAATTGCCCATTCTTTAGTGTATACTTATAGTTTTAAATCATGACATTTATAAAAGAATTAAAAACAATTATGTGAACGTAATTGAAATAAATTATTTTATTCAAAGATTTTTATTAGTTAAACGAGTAAGCCTTGAAAAAGTGAAAAATTTTTAGTCATGTATTTTAAGAAAAGAGACAAATCATTTTAGAAATATAATAAACGTCAGTTTAAAAATTAATTGAATATATGAATTTAAAAACTGTGGACTATGTTTTAAAAAAAAATAAAAAAAATCGTAAGTTACTAAACCATATTGAGAAAAATACGTTTTATGATCATTTTACTTATCTGAAATAAGTTAGTTTTTGTTTTGGTATTCATCGGCTCTTTTCATTTTGAAAAAATCAGTTTAATAGATACGAGTTAATCTGATCTACAGAATATCTAAGCGAATCTAATGAAAAGAGAGAATTAAAAACAAAAATGTGACTAGTCAAAATTTAACACATATTTGCGTTTTATTACAGTCATACTATACGAAATTTAATTTTTCTAGAAAGAGATAGAATTTGTTTGAGTAAAGAGGTGATGTGATCGTGTTAGAATCTCTCATTTCATGACTCTCGTTATTTGTCTGTGAATGTTGAAAAAATATGGATTAAAATATTCTCTAAAGACAATCATTTGTAGTTGAACTATTTGATGAACAAGTAGTCCGTTATTTGTATTTTCTTAGCCTATATTAATTTGATTTTTTGCACAAAGGATATACGTTTAGGGAAAACACACATATATTCTCTCTTTTTCGCTGAACCAAGTATTAACATAAACCAATTGTATATATATAATAGTCATCGAAATAATAAAATTATTATGTTTTATTTTGTCAATGTCAAAATTATGTGAACATCATAAACATGTATACACACGATTGAACGAGTTTATTATTAAATATCTAAGATAATTTATGATTTCATCAGAAGAAGAGAGAGAAAGAATGTTGTTACTATAATAAAATAACAATACAAACGAAATTATACTCATTAAAATATATTTTTGTATGTAAATCAGTTATGTGTATTAGACTATTAGATAATAGGATTTTACTCGGTGAAGAAGACAGGAGAGTTTCATACAACGTCCTTCTTCATGCTTTTTAGAATTCGGTACTTCTTATACGTACTTCTTATATATATAGTAAGATTTATCACGTAGACAATAATTGTTAACAAATTTCATAAAAGACAATAAGATAATTAACAAGAAAAATTTAATAGATGTTCATTAAATATTTATTAATATGACACAAAATCGCATGTATTTATTCTAAAACATTTAAGTCTGTCATGTCTATTTTGAATATTTTTATGTTATCTTTATATACAACTCACATTCAACTATTTTTATCACATTTCTATCAATGAACATCACTCTATAATTTCTTCAATTGTTTTCGTTTTGCCTTTCATCTAGTGTCTTTCAATAATGATGATTGTAACCTTCAAGTTTAATTATACTAGAGTATAGATATGAATTAATTACATTTATGAATGAATATAAGGTTATATTCTCAAAAATTTTCAACTTTAAAAAAATTTCTTTAATACTTTTTTTTCTTAATTTTTAATTATATTCTTCTTCTTTTTCTTCAATTTGTAAATTTATACCTTCTTCTTACTTTAGTGATTGGCGTCAAATGTTTGAGTGAGGAACTCAAAATGGTATAAAAATTTTCTAAATTAGATGGGTGTATGCATGATGAACAGTATCAAACCAATTTTTGTACATATCTAATATTATTATTTACTGTTAATCTAAACATATTCTGTTCAGCATGTTCAAATTTAACAATTGTTTATTTATCGGACTGTTATTTTAATCCACTAACATATATAAATCGTGTCGAAAGTCGAATAGTAAATATAACTGTTGCACATATCATGAATCCAAAAGAAGAAAGTGATTCATATGCTGTTATTCGTTCAAATCCTCCCTATTATGTTCGTATAACATTAGATGTTATTTGTTCATCTATGCCGTTAAAATTATGGTCAACATTAGAATTATCCTCAACTCTTAATGGTGAATTTGTTCAAACAAAATTAAATAATATTTTACTATATAAAAATCATACAAAACTACCATCATTATATTTATCATCAGGAACATTTTATATTCGAAATTTAACAATAAACGATTGTCAAACAAATATTCAATATCGAACGAATCTAAACGAAATATTACAATTTAATATTAGATTGGAATCAAATTTTAATGATACATGTAATATAGCACAGCAAAATTCATGTTATCCAACACAAAACTATATATGTGACGAGTATAGTGGAAAATGTACATGTCGATCACCACTACTTTTATATCAAAAATGGTGCACAGATTTTGTCAATATAACAAATTGTACATATTATTCTCAACGATGTATAAAATGGTGTGAAATGAATGATAATATCGATTGTATTTGTCCACAACCAGAAACAGTAAAAAAACAGATAATCATTAATAATAATAATAATAGTTGTAAGTAGATAATGTTTCATGATTAAACAATGGGAATAAACACATTTCCCATTTCTTTTTTTTAGTTCAAACAATTTACTATTGTGAAATATTGCCAAGACAATCTTGTCAACTTTTTGACACTATTCGACGTTGTTCTTTAAATCAGCAATGTATTAATGGCTATTGTACAGCAAAATCAATTGTGAAATCTAATTCTATAATTAGTTCCATTGAATTATTATTAATCGTGTTACTTGTTATGTTTATTTTTGCCATTCTTGCTCTCATCTTTTTACTTGTTTTAATCAATCGTTATTGTCGTAGAAAAGAGAAACATATATCATCGTCTCTCGTTCAATATGCTCTATGTGCTAGACGTGAAAGTCAAAATTTAGAAAACTGTCCACAAAAAATATATTCACTACCAAATGATATATCGAGAATTGTTCACAACAAAATGGAGGCCAATGATTCCGTATACGATAATCAACAAAATATTTATGGAGTATTTCGAAACAATGTTCGAATAACAAAACTAACACAATCACCAATACCAACAGAAAACCAGTTGTTAAGAGAAAAATCATTTTCGAATATGACCTATGAAGATAACAATCATTGTGAGAGTCTAAACTTTCAACCGTACTCTCTTTTCCTACACGAAGGTACAACTGCCATATTTGCATAATAGACAAATATTAGATAGTATGCAATCTGAACTTCTATTTAGTTTACTAACTTTTGTGCTTTATTCATGTAACAGTATTAAATGTTAAACTCAATTATATTCGTTTTTTTGAAATTCAACCTATGATGTGTATGACAAAAATAGAACGTCTGTTCTCAATAATGAGCTCCTTACGAGCTCATATTTTCATGTAATTAACCCTTGTACTACCAACCAGGATCTATTTAGACCCTGTTCTCAAAAAACAAGAAACTGAGATGAAATTGTTTTTGCATGGATCGAAATATGAAATACGTTCTATGAATGCATTCTATTTGTTGTGTCTAAAATAGGCTTGGGAGTAGAAGGGTTAAACACTACAGTTTCAGACGTATCAGCTAAAAATAACTCTGTTTAATGGTCAACTGTATTAATCTCTGAATATAAAGTTATAATCTGATGTATGGTTATTTTTCAAGCATTCACATAAATCGAACAAGATAAAGGAGATATCAGTCCCTTCATGTATCAAATGGTGATAAAAATACCTTAAAAATGTTAAGCTCTCATAAAAGCATGGTGATTACAAAACGAAATAACGATAGATAAGTGGTAACTATGGATCATTCGCATTATATTAAGAAAATATTGAATATATTGGCTGATCATATAAAATTAAAACTACTTTTCCTTGATTCCACAAAACCCTAACGAAGTTACTAAGAAGACTGGTTAAGCAATCTCTCTGTCAGAAATACAAAATTTTTGTAAAAAAGTCCATTTTCCAACCTTGTAAAGGTAAATCGTCGGTAAATTAAGCTATATCCATAGAAAATGACTAGTGTCAAATGAGGCCAATGAATAATCTACAATATAAAAGAGCCCGATTTTTGAGCTTAGATTTAGTTTTCGAAAAGCGAAGGATTTCTGAACAATTTAAATGAGGATTTTCGTATTTTGGCTTGTGATGAATGCTGAAACCAAACAGAGTATAAATTCAAAAATTGTACATTGTAGACCTATGCATTAGCTTCAGTTTAAGACCAACTCGAACCCTTCAGCATCCACGTAGACGAAGATTTTCTGCAACTACGAAAAGCCCTACGTTAGACTTTGCTAAGGCGACATCTTGTGAACATTTCTATTCCAGTGGAAAACTGTACGATCAGATAGACTACTTGTTCATGTTCTTACCATTAGCTCCCATATTGACCGAATTGTTGACGATAAATTTCGAAGAAACAAATAAAAAGATTTTTCATCATGATGACATTGTATTTTAAAGATCTTACCTAGTCGGTGCATTTAGATTACCAGATATTTGGGCGCGCGACGTTTGGGCGCAACGACATTTGGGCGCAATGATATTAGGCACATCTATGACAAAAGCAAACAGAAGTGGTGCATTTGTTAAAGTATGCTGCAAAACGATAAAATTTTCTTTAAACAAACTTTTTATACTGTGAGACCTTTTTCTATATTACTCATATCCAACTCTAACCACTGTTTCTTTAATCTTCATCGATACTCACACTCACACACACCCACACCGGCGTCTTTGAACTTCAACTATCGTTGCGCCCAAATGTCGTTCGCGTCCAAATGTCGGTATACCGTGCATTTATACTGATCGATTACACTCACAATTTTAGATACATTGCTGATATGTTGTCTCTGCTGGCGTAACTAGGATTTTTTTGCCATTGGGCCAACTTCACTAATTCGAAAAAACGGCTGGATAAAAACGGCTATAATAATTCGGGAAAATACTGGGCCAAGCAATCTTTTTTCAAATTTTCAGCTGGGAAAAGCACAAAGTTTAAGTTGGGCTATGATCCAATGTCCCCCCATCCCACTCCCGTAGTTACTCCATTGATTGTCTCGTCTTTAAATACAATGGAAATCGAACAAAATGATAGTATTCCATTTCCTGATGTATTGGTTTTACTTAAAGCGCTTACTTTAATAAAACTATATATCGAAAGACTACGCCGTTGAGATTATTGACAAGATGGGGTAGTTGCTCAACAGTTACGTATAAAAGAAATACCATTCATACTATAGTGCAAAGTGCATTGATTAATAATTTCATTCGCTTTCTTTCGTTGATGAAGTCAATAAAGGGTGGGCCAGAAGTTCTGACTCGATTTGAATAATAAATTTTTCTATAGTGAAACAAGTGGTTGTAAATTTGTCTCTATGAAGAAAAGATGCAGTAAAAAACGCTCTACAAAATGACGAT